CAATTAAGAAATTGTTTAACAAAACAAATTAAAAGGTATCTTCTTAAGAAGGCTTCCCCCCACCCCTCCCTTCTGTGTGGAGGAAGATATGGGCAAATCTATAAAGGGATCAAATATCCTTCATTAGGGGAAATGAAATAAAAGATTAACCCCAGGATATCTTTAGATCATTTGCCTTGTCGCTTATTTTTGGTAGCACCAAATTTTATCTCCCTCCTCCCCCTGCCCCACCATGTAAACTTTAACACGCTGGCCCAATAGCAGAATACACTTTGGGAATCTAGGCATCAGCTTTCAATGCACAAAAATGTGAAAGCTTTGAACATCCCTGCAAAACCTTTTTGGATCCGGAACCCTGTGAGCATTGACATACCTCTAGTAGCTGCTACAATTCTTCATCAGCATCAGATTAATATCAGATTATAAAGCACAGTAGAGTGATCACTGGTACAATTCCAAACAGCTTAATTGACAAACTTTGTTTCAGTTTGTACCATATTGAATTCATAGCTTGTGTGCCTCTCCTATAACAGCACATGCTCTGCACTGCCTTGGGGATGCATGTACATGCACATTCAGTTCATTTCGCAATCTGCTTTTACCTGAATGGGGTGGTGGTTTTCTCAATGGCTTCTGCTTTTTATTCATAATATTGGAGCTCATTCTAAAATCATACAATTAAATAAAAACAATTTTATTCCAGTATGCACCATCTTAAGGAAAATTCAAAGCTAATGTGTTTACACAATGCCAAGACTTTTCTTTTAAAAGGCCCAAATTTAACGCATGACACACACACAAGAGATCATAAATTACTTTGGCTAAAAATAATTTTTTTTAAAAAATCTGACAACATTCGGCTTGCAGCTTACTCTATATAATTTAGATATGTTCTTTAAAAGGACGATGGAGCAGTCAGGCCATCTTTTCCATGGTCATGTAGGAACTACAATATTCTTGGCTAATAAAAAGAGAAGAGCAAGGTTTGCATTTCCACCAGCTTGCTCCAAAGCTTCAAGAGCTTCCCGCACGGTAAAGCCAGCGCACAGAATCTGACTAATGTCGGCTGCAGGGAAAACAGGCAGCGGAGGAAGTCTGGAGTGCAGTTCCAGATCACTGACTGGAGGGCAGAGCAATGGCTCAACAAGTCCACAGGGTGGCCTTGGATCTTCAGGATTTGAGGAACTGTCAGTTATTTCAGACACTTCTGTTAACAGGCTCTGAGCATCCTGAGGAACATCTTCCTCCACCGTGAGCTCAGGTGAACGTGATCTGTTCAGCTCTAAAGTCTGACTGGCTGGAACTTGGTCATTTACTAAACGTTCAGGTAAAATTTCTGCCGGCTCAGTACTCTGTAGTTGATCAAATGTTGCAACTGAGCTCAGAATGACAGAATTACTCTTACTCGAGGACTTCTGTATCTCTAGAGCATCTTTTTCAACAATTGACTGGCTGCTAGTTAAAACCTTGATGCTAGCATTTTCTATTCCCATAGCATAAGATGGTGCCCCTGCTAGCCCCTCAGGGTTCGCATGTTCAGGCATCACCGTATGAAAGGAGCTATTTAGATCCCCACTCTCTGGATCCACACTTTCACGTTCATCATCAGAAAGCTCCTTGCATTCCATTTGCTCTTCAAGAATAGTTTCTGGCTGACCAGTGTCTTCTTCAGACATAAAAATGACAGAATCTCCTTTACTATTTATAACCAAAAGTTCATGAAGCTCCTTCAATGCTGCTGTTAAAGATAAACATGGCTCTTCAGTGGATGCTGCTGTATCACCGTTCACCTGATGAATGTCAGGTGAGGAAGAGCTATCTTCAGCTGATAAATTAGGTAACTCAGTACATATTGCAGTCATTTCAACATTGTTTTCAGGCTGCAGTAAATCACTAGTGGAAACTGGGTTACTCGAAAATACAGAGAAGGAGGAGTCATGCTTTGATGACTCTATTTGCATCAAAGAACAGTCTACATTCAGACAAGATCCACCAATCTTCTTCGCTTGAGCGTTCTGTTTCCTTGACAAGTTATGCCCTGTGATTACAGACTGCTCAGCTACATCTGTTTCCATGAAGATTTCTGTATGTGTACAGCCACAGCATGCGGACATTGGGATATTGTCGTTTCTACATGATAGCTCTATCTTCTCCAGGCCACTTTCTCTTCTCTCAGCAAGAGAGTCAACGGGTGATTCCGGCTGGATGTTCGTAAGGCCTTGCTCCCCCACAGCAGGTAACTCAAGGCCACTGACATTACAAGGATATTCTGGCTCGATTGGTTCATTCTGTTTATCCAAACATCGTTCACTCACTGGTTCTTTGTATGTCTGAAGATCCAAAGGAAACTCATTCATTTGGTTCAGTTCCAGCGGTTCTGAAGGCAATGATACATCTAGAACCGCCTGCTGCCCACGCTTGCTGGTGGTGTCAGACAAACTGCTTTCTCTTGTCACTTCCATAGGAGATTCCAGACCATGGGCTAGTTCTTTAGCATTATATTTCTTTAGACTGTCAGCAGCCACTGTTTTTTCAAGTGTATTCTGTGAAGGTATAGTTGGACTATGACAGGCTGCTGCTTCAGTCTGGATAGCATGGTCATTGTGTGCTGAATGAGCAGCATGATCAGAAAGATTCTGTAACAGAAGAGGGTCTGGAGCTAGCTGGCATTCAGCTGGTGACTCCAAAGACTTCACAGCTGTAGAATCAATTATCTCTGCTAGACTAGATTTGTGTGAGCAAATTGAAGCAGGGGCAGAGACGGAGCGATCAAGTAATTGATTTGTGGGATTACAGATCTTGGAACTTAGTCCTGAAGAATGGACTGGACTTTTAAATCCATCAGAAGATGGTAAAGATGGCATTTCCAGTGAGGTAGTTTCTTTATCACTATTCTCTATACATGGATAGAAAGAGAAAGTAGTAGTTAGAATTATAAGAGCTATTACATTTTCACGTAATATAACAATTTCAGAATACAGGCTGTAAGGACATTTTGTATATCAGTTTGGTATGCCATTTCAGTTTGGTAACTACACCTGAAGTGCCACTTTCTCATGAATGTACTGTGACTAGATCAGATGTAACAGCCCTTCCACAGCTCTTTGAATAAATGCAAATTTGGTAATTAAATTACAGGGGCAGATACGTTATTATGGGTGAGTATGAGAAAGACTGGATGAAACCAGGTTGACTTTCAGATCTCAGATCTAATTTGCTATGATCACAATTAGAAGAGACATTTTAACTAGTAAAGCCAGCAAGTATAATCTGAAGTAATTGAGAAAAAACAGAAAATCCTATGATTCCACATACAGAGTCACTTTTCAGAGCAAAAACATGCTAAATTTAAAAAGTTAAGATCCCAACTTCTCTTCCACCCATCCCCTCAAACATTACATACAGCCCCTTTAACAGGAAAATGTCCAGGGTATTGTGTGTGGTTGGGGGGGTTAGCTTGTATAGCTACTTATTGGTTTGTTGAAGTTTAAAAGCAACTTCCATAGAAGTTTATCCTTTTCCATTTGGTAATACCTGCTCCCTTCCCCTAGTCTTGTTGTGCTTTGTAAGAAACAAGAGGATCCTTTGTCTGGATATCAGTAAAGATGTGAGAACAACAGCAAAGAGAAATACCACAGAGTAATAGAAAGCCACTGTTTATTATTTGTTTTAATTTCTCAGAGTGGTGGATAAAAAGCAAGATATTTAGAGTTCAGAAAACATTCACCATCAGATTATAACAATTTTAGAGTAGAAAAATTGTGGACCTAAATTACTTGACAGCTTCTGTCTTCATTCAACATTTATTTTCTGTTCCAAGCTACTGATGTCTGCCATAATAGGAGGAGGCAGGTGGTTGCAAATTCACCTCTGAGCAAAGTCAATGAGTTCAAAATATCTATTTTCATGGTGATAAAATAAGCAACCTGTAAAGCTTTTTAATTACAGAACCCAAAAGGGCCTCTGAGAAACACTTGCAACGGTACAGAAAGGCTACACAGTAATACAAAAGATATTTAGCATTTAATCATGCAATTCAAATACAACATGCTGAATAACAACGTTCTCCCAAGGGAGTGTAAGTTTTCAAGGTGTAATAAAGTAGTATGTGTATGATCTAATTGTGCTCAAGACACTTCAGATTAGTCAGACAGCTTTGCATAATAAACTTACTGCAAGTGCTTAGGTACTGCTGGGCCTTTAAATAAAAATCAATTGCTATAAGATGGTCACGGCTTGTTTGTTAAACTCCGCACACACAGCCATTACAAGCTGAAGTCGTAGCCTTTCAGTTAGGTAGCTTAACATAACCATATAGTTAACCAGGTTTCTTTATATTATTTATATCTTTATATCTGTTGTCAGATAAAGCCCATGGTTGTATATTGGTAACATGACTTGCTGTCAACACCAAATTAATTTCTTGCTTTAAAAATCCAAAATTAAGACAGATATGACCGTGCAGTGGCCTTTCACCTCAGGAGACCTGTGTCTGAATCTTAGCTGAGGACACCCATAAATATCAGTGTGATGGTGTCTTTCTAGTTCTTGTTTGTTACATTGCAAAGTCACCACGCTGTTCAATGTGACTAGCCATCTCTGCTCAAGAGTTTCAGGTTTATGCACCATGGGTGCTGTAGGTAAGAAATGGGTGCATTTGGAAAGTAGTGCAGGAAAGCTCATACACCTATTAGCCCCTCCTTTCCATGAACAAATGGTTTAAATAAATGTTTAAATGAGGAAAAAGAACACACTACAGGTTTGTTATATTTAGATAAAAGAGGTGGAATGTTTTCATCCTCTGAAAGGAACGAGCTGTCAATTTCACATCACATAGGTTTCTCCACAATACTGTTTAAAGCAAGGTTAGCCCTGCTGCTGGCAGTGTGAAAGTTGTAGCGAAAGCTCATAAATGGGTAGCTATAAATACCTGGTCTGTGGCCCACTCCAGCTGCAGTACACACACACTACATGCATCAAGGCTTCTGATGTTCTGTTTGGATTAGGAAACACAACACACCAAACTTGTATTAGCAATTCAAAGCACACAACATGCATGGTTATAGTCTGTGACCTCTCTCTCTCCCCTCCCCCAGTTTCTTCCAATATATGGTTCTGAACAAGGGAGCTCCTTGTGGTCGCTGCCTTCCAGAAGTTCGGCTGGCCATTCCGATATAAGTCTGTTTAGGCACTTTGCCATGTTGAGTCAAAAAGGAACTGCTCTTCAATCAAGTTAAGGATTTTACTGTACCGTCATTTGATCAGTACGGAGTGCAGGAGAAGCTATGTATTCGACAAAAATACACAGCACAAGGCATGTTTAACGGCATGCTAGCTCACTGTGCACTGCTGAAAATACACAGCAGGCACGTTTCAGAGAAGTTGGAGCTGGGGACAGTGCAACAGTTCCTGGAATCTGCTGCCAGTTGTCAGTAACTTGCTCTGTGCCCCTGGGTACATCACTTACCCAGTATGTACCTGTATCCCCATTTTACACATGGGGATACTACCAGCCTCACAATGGGTGCGTGGCCTGAAGGTTATAAGATTTAAGATCCTTGGGTGAAAGGCACCAGAAAAGTGTGCAGTCTGAGCCAGCAATACTTTTTCAGAACACCACAGTGACTGAACAGATGTAGCCAAGGGTGAAATATGACTAACAGCAGCCTTCTTTGCACAGCGGGGAGGATGTCTCACATCAGCTGTGGATTTGGTTATTAGTAACCTCAGACAACAATTTCTATTTATCAAGAAAGATGTATTACCAACAAGTTGCATTCATTTATTTTTGCTAAGATTCTGGGTAAACGTATCAGCTCTCAGGCGCTTGTCAAATTTCCAGCATGACCTTCAGTGTGACAGTGAGTGTCCCTACCCTAGATCACATTAGGATCTCTCTGTCCAAGTTTCCTATTTCCAATCAGCTATCCAAAACTTCCAGCTGCGCTGCCTGGTTTGTCGTCATCTGTCTCTCCCTGTGCACAGGTTCCAAAACTCAGTGGCCTTTAGCAGGACCAGCAGGACAACTGAAGTAATTAAGACACACTGAATTGCTTTCCTTCATTTAAATCTTCAAAAAGTCTTCCTCCTTTTAAATATATAATTGGACTGTGTTCTGCTGACTGAACACGCTCATGTTTGCACCTGGGATTTGCCAGAAAGTTTATTATGCCTGTCCTGTAAGAAGTCTGTTTTTGTCTCCTCGAGTACCTGTTTCCATTATTTTCCATTTAGATCAAGCTGGGACGTGGAGTCTCAAAAGAGGATACATTGGGCCACTCCTGTTCTACTGGTTGCACATCTGGTCTTAATGTAACTATGGCAACAATTCTGTCAAGTTGTGATTTTAAGAAAAAACATTTCTGTAAATCATTCAGCCTTCCACATTGTCACAGTCTTTCACAGGGGGAGCAGCGAGGCCTGTGCAACAGAATGATAGTGAAAAACAAGACTGGGATTTGTGTGTCTCCAATTAACACTACACTCAGACCCCCATCTGCACAGCCTGATTCTTTGAAAGGGGAAGGGGGACAGGGTCATCCCCTGGTGCAGTAGAAGGCGATTTTGTTGACAGGGAATCTGTAATAAGGGTCTAATTAGTCAGATACATCAGGGAGTTGTATCCATTTAGACAACAGAAGTAGCTGGTGTCCTGCCAGACACCTGAACATGGTTATCAAAGACCAAAGACATGGCAGAATCTGCAGAAGGATTTGTTTTCTAACTCCGCCAAGGAAATCAATACAATTAATAGGAATGTACTTGTCTCCAGATAAAATGCACCATATTTGATAGGGTTTTCCCTGTGCTGGAAAGAGTAAGGGCAACATGCGTGATGGGACTGCCTGTATACATAGGCATTCTAGATGCAAGTACAGCTATATAAAGGGGCAGATTACTTCTCTATACCAGTGGTTCCTAAACTATGGGCTGGGTCTCCCAAGAGAGGCACGGGAATGTGTCAAGGGAGGCATGAGATGTGTGCTTTTTAAAAAAAAGAGCTCTGGCTGTCAGCCCTAGGCTGCTGGACTCGTGCAGAAGGGCCGTGCACACCCGGGAGGTGGGGGATGGGATAAAGGGGACAGCCGGAGCACCGCTGCCCCAGGGCTGACAGCTGGAGTATGCCACCCAAGATTGGGCTCTCTTCCTCCCCACCCCCCAAAACCTCAACAGGAGGTAGTGGCGGGGAACTCCTGCTCCCAGCCCCGGGGTGGCAGCAGCAGCAGCGCAGAAGTAAGGGTGGCAGTGGGGCGCTAAGTCTCCTGTGACAAGTGATATTGACAAATATCACTTTTCACATCTCTAGCCTCACTTCTGCACTGCTGCTGGCACAGCCCTGGCTTCAGAGCTGGTGCCCAGCCAGCAGCCGCTGCTGCTGCTTTCTGCTCTGCCTTCAGAATATATGTACTTTGGGGGTAGGGTGGGGGGTTTGCATAAGTGATTACAGACACAAAGAAGGGGGGGCGTGAGCAAAGAAGTCTGAGAACCACTGCTATTGTTAGGTTTTGTTGTAGTTTTGCTGTCAATATCCTAAAAATCTCATTGATTACAGGGAGTTGGCATCATCTGAATCCAACAGGGGAGAAAGCATTGTGCATGGCTGGAAGAGTACAAATCCTTGAACAGAAATGGAGTTCACATGGAGAATCTGGTAATGAATAAATAGATATGGTCTATGCAGGACTAATACCAGGATGACACTGGCATCTAACTCCAAATTCCAAGCCTCTCCGAGGTGGATCTGAAAGGGTCAAATAAGGCTCAGGACTAATTCAGGTGTGTTCAAATGGGAACTTTACTGACCTAATGATGTACAGTGTGATATCTGGCATATCATGAACCAAAAAGGAGTCAAAATTCAAACCACTATAAAAGTACACAGGAGGTCCTGCAGGAAGATGAGTCTTTTAGGGCTGAACTATATCCTCTCTCTCTTTCTCTCTCTCGGCTTTCTTGGTGCCATCTGCAAGCAGCTAATATTTTGGAAAGGAGGATGATGATGCAAGAGTTAATATTCTGACAACTCAATATGTAGCTAACAATTGCCTAAAAATGTGAGGTTTGTCACATGTCTAAGACTCAGTAAAATCACTCAAAACAAAACCAACCTGAAGTAACATTTTATACATATATGTCAGAGTGTTCCACAAGTGCTATGGAACAACTAGAGATGATCTGTTCTATTTTAAATCCCTCTGTTAAATCACTCAGCTTCCTTCAGAGCTGAAACGTTGTGTGTTTGGTCTCAACCCCCAAGGTGAGACTGTTGGCAAATGAACGAACAGCTGAGCATTTTTAATTATATTAGCACAAAAAATGCTTTCGATAGTAAGTTATAGTAACTCTTTTGCACTCGACTCTAACACCTTAATTTTAAAACCTCAAATTTTCCAGGTTGATTGTCCTCAGTTTTGAGGGTCAGATAAAATCAAACCTTTGGTTTTGTGAAGTTACAATCTGACTGATGAGGCTTTGGAAAACCAACCTTGGTTTTACCTATCTCAAATATTCTAACGGGAGAAAAACTAATATTTATGGCTATTGATTAATCTCAGTTAACACATGTGATTAACTCAAAAAAATTAATTGCGATTAATTGCAGTTAAACGATAGAATATCAATTGGCATTTATTAAATATTTTTGGATGTTTTTCTACATTTTCAAATATATTGATTTCTGTTGCAACACAGAATACAAAGTGTAAATCTTTAGAGCCTACAAGTCCACTCAGTCCTACTTCTTGTAGCCAATCGCTAAGACAAAGAAGTTAGTTTACATTTACGGGAGATACTGCTGCCTGCTTCTTATTTACGTAACCTGAAAGTGAGAACAGGTGTTCGCATGGCACTGTTGTAGCCTGTGTTGCAAGGAATTTACATGCCAGATATGCTAAACATTTGTATGCCCCTTCATGCTTCGGCCACCATTCCAGAGGACATGCTTCCATGCTGATGATGCTCATTAAAAAAATAATGCATTAATTAAATTTCTGATTGAAATCCTTGGGGCAGAATTGTAGGTTTCCTTTTCTGTTTTACCCGCATTCTGCCATATATTTCATGTTATAGCAGTCTCAGATGATGATCCAGCACATGTTCGTTTAAGAACACTTTCACTGCAGATTTGACAAAACGGAAAGAAGGGGAGATTTCTAAAAATAGCTACAGCACTTGATCCAAGGTTTAAGAATCTGAAGTGCCATCCAAAATCTGATTGGAACAAGGTGTGGAGCATACTTAAAAGAGCAACACTCTGATGCGGAAACTACAAAACTCGAACCACCAAAAAAGAAAATCAACCTTCTGCTGATGGCATATGACTCGGATGATGAGAATGAACATGTGTCGGTCCGCTCTGCTTCGGATAGTTATCGAGCAGAACCCATCATCAGCATGGACGCATGTTCTCTGGAATGGTAGTTGAAGCATGAAGGGACAAATGACTCTTAAATGCATCTGGCATGTAAATATCTTGCAATGCCGGCTACAACAGTGCCAGGAGGACACCTGTTCTCACTTCCAGGTGACACTGTAAACAAGAAGCAGGCAGCATTTTCTCCTGCAAATTGTAACCAAACTTGTTTGTCGGAACGATTGGCTGAACAAGAAGTAGGACTGCGTGGACTTGTGGGCTCTAAAATTTTACATTGTTTTATTTTTGAATTAAGTTATTTTTTGTACATAATTCTAAATTTGTAAATTCAACTTTCATGATAAAGAGACTGCACTACAGTACTCGTATTAGGTGAACTGAAAAATACTATTTTGTTTTTTACAGTGCAAATATTTGCAATAAAAAATAAAGTGAGCACTGTACACTTTGCATTCTGTGTTGTAACTGAAATCAATACATTTGAAAATGTAGAAAATGTCAAAAAATATTAAATAAATGGTATTCTATTATCGTGTAATCATGATTAATTTTTTTAACCATACAATTAATCGCGATTAATTTTTTTTAAATTGCTTGACAGCCCTACTAATATTATTTTACATTTCCTGTTGAAGGTAATGAGATGAACCTGCAACACCAAGTCTGGCTCTAGAGTTTGCCAGGGTTTGGTGATGGCAAGGCTGGATCCAGCGTTATGATTTATGCCTCTCTCTACTTGTCTGTAGACTAGGGGCACGTCTGCACTACAGGACTACCGGGGTGACAGCGGCACAGCTACAGGGCTGCAGATATGCCACTGTATCTCCATTACTTTAAGGTTGACCTGCACAAGGATTTTTTTTTTTTAAAAAAAAGCACAAATTCATTTTTCAATCGTAATCATGGATAAAGGACTGGAAGGTTTTTTCCTTTACCACCTTTGAAGAATCAAGAGTGCAAATTTTGGCCTTCCCGGATTTTGATCACAGACCACTGGGAGGTCCCAAGAGATACATATTTTGAGCTATTAACACCTTAATTGATTGGAGCAAGAATGCTGAGTCCTTAAAGTTTTTTCACTCATATCTTGTCTCATTTGAAGTAAAAGATGCATTAACAAAAACAGAACTACAAAGTTTCAAACAGCCTGGCTAACTGCTCAGCCTTCTGCTTTCAGACCATCACCATGGCCTGATGTATACCTAAAACGTTTGTTGACCTAGCTACATCACTCTGGGGTGTGAAACTCACTATCCCAGCCCCCCCCCACGAGAAACAGTTTGTAGGGTCTAAATGAGCTGTTACTATTCAAGAAAGATCTTGGAATCATTGTGGATAGTTCTTTGAAAACATCCGCTCAGTGGCAGTATGCGGTGGCAGTCAAAAAAGCTTAACAGAATGAAGGAATCATTAAGAAAGGGCTAGATAACAGGACAGTAAGTATCATAATGCCACTCTATAAATCCATGGTACGCCCACACCTTGAATACTGCACACAATCCTTGTTGCCCCATCTTAAAAAAAGAAAAGGAAAGAGGTACAGAGAAAGGCAACAAAAATGATTAAGGGTATGAAACAACTTCAATCTGAGAAGAGATGAAAAACACTGGGACTGTTCAGGTTGGAAAAAAGATTTCACTTAACACAAGAACGAGGGGTCACCCAATGACATTAACAGGCAGCGGTTTAAAAACACACACAAGGAAGTACTTCTTTACACAGTGCACAGTCAACCTGTGGAACTCGTTTCCAGAAGATGTTGTGATGGCCAAAACTATAACTGGGTTCAAAAAAAGAGTAAGATCATTTCATGGAGGATTGGTCCATCAATGGCTATTGGTCAACATGGTCAGGACACAAACACATGCTCTGGGTGTCCCTAACCCTCTACCTGCCAGATGCTGGGAATACATAACAGGAGATGGATCACTTGGTAATTGCTTTGTTCTGTTCATTCCCTTTGAAGCATCTGGCATTGGCCACTGTTGGAAGACAGGATACTGGGCTAGATGGACCACTGGTCTGACCAGTATGGCCATTCTTATAAGCTGACTTAAGCCCCAGTACAGACACCACTAGGTTGACACAAGAATTCTTCCATTGACCTAACTACTGCGTGTCAAGGGGGTGAATTAGATCCAGCAATAGAAACACTCGTTTCATCACTGCAAGTATCTACGCTATAGTGACACAGCTGTAGCATCACAGCTTTGACGCTATAGAGCATCTGCAGTGCAGACAAGTCCCGTTTTGCTAGTTCTCCAGTCATCAAGGCCTTCCAGCCTAGACAGGACCGGAACCTGAAAACTTTAAGGCTTCTCTTATGTTGTAAAGCAGTAAAAGAAGGGGCACAAGCTCATTATTTTTCCCCTTTGCAGATCACCTTTAACACCGAAGATGTAGGTTAGGATACAGTAACTCCTCATTTGAATAAACAGGAAATCAGATTTTCAGCGTTGCTGAGTAAAGTAATATTTCAGCTCCGAGATACCATCACTGCTATGGGTACCCGCGTGGCCCCACAGTATGCCAACATTTTTATGGCTGACTTAGAACAACGCTTCCTCAGCTCTCGTCCCCTAATGCCCCTACTCTCCTTGTGCTACATTGATGACATCCTCATCATTTGGACCCATGGAAAGGAAGCCCTTGAGGAATTCCACCATGATTTCAACAATTTCCATCCCACCATTAACCTCAGCCTGGACCAGTCCACACAAGAGATCCATTTCCTGGACATTACAGTGCTAATAAGCGATGGTCACATAACCACCACCCTATACCAGAAACTACTGACTGCTATGCTTACCTACATGCCTCCAGCTTTCATCCAGACCACAGCACATGATCCATTGTCTACAGCCAAGCTCTTAGATACAACCGCATTTGCTCCAACCCCTCAGACAGAGACAAACACCTACAAGACCTATATCAAGCGTTCTTATAACTACAATACCCACCTGGTGAAGCGAAGAAACAGATTGACAGAGCCAGAAGAGAACCCAGAAGTCACCTACCACAGGACAGGCTCAACAAAGAAAGTAACAGAACGCCACTAGCCATCACCTTCAGCCCCCAACTAAAACCTCTCCAGCGCAAAGATCTACAACCTATGCTGAAGGATGACCCATCACTCTCACTGATCTTGGGAGACAGGCCAGTCCTCACTTACAGACAGCCCCGCAACCTGAAGCAAATCCTCACCAGCAACCACACACCATACAACAAAAACACTAACCCAGGAACCTATCCTTGCAACAAAGCCCATTGCCAACTCTGTCCACATATCTATTTAAGGGACACCATCATAGGACCTAATCATATCAGCCACACTATCAGAGGCTCGTTCACCTGCACGTCTACCAACACAATATATGCCATCATGTGCCAGCAATGCCCCTCTGCCATGTACATTTACATAGAGACTGTCTGGTTTGGCCAAAGAAAAAATGGACACAAATCAGACGTCACGAATTATAACATTCAAAAACCAGTTGGAGAACACTTCAACCTCCCTGGACACTCAATTACAGACCTACAAGTCGCAATTATTCAACAAAAAACCTTCAAAAACAGACTCCAACGAGAAACAGCAGAACTGGAATTAATCTGCAAACTGGACACCATTAAATTAGGCTTGAGTAAAGATTGGGAGTGGATGAGTCATCACACTAACTAAAAACTATTTCCCCATGCTAATTTTCCCCTTACTGTTAGTCACACCTTCTTGCCAGCTGTTTGAAATGGGCCATCCTGATTATCACTACAAACTTTTTTTTTCTCCTGCTGATAATAGCCACCTTAATCGATTGGTCTCGTTAAGAGTTGGTATGGCAACCCCCATTTTTTCATGTCCTCTGTATCTATCTATCTTCCTACTGTATTTTCCACTGCATGCATCTGATGAAGTGGGCTTTAGCTCACGAAAGCTTATGCTCAAATAAATTTGTTAGCCTTAAGGTGCCGCAAGTCCTCCTCGTTCTTTCTGAAGCAGTATAGGTATTTCTAAAAACAGTTTAGAAAATTCATATATTTATGTAGCTACAGCGCAAATAAATGTCAATTGACAATTCTGTAACAGCTCACTACAATTTTTCTTTAGCATTTGTATAGACTGTGGGGATTAGAGCATGGCTCATGGCTGCTGCCACAAGTCCTCCTCCCCACCCCCCGATTAAAATGGCTAAAATATCACTTAACTGAAATTGTCCCCTCGCTGTACATTAAAAACAACAAGATTAATGGACTACGGTGGCAGGGAGGAATGGGAGAGCTACTAGTCAACCACAAAGAAAGACCAAGTTAAAATGGCACAGCAACCCATCGGCCTGTATTGTCCACGAAGAGAGATTTGATTTAGATGTCCCAAGGAAAAGAGTGCAGCAATCAGGAGGCTCTGCAAGAGAGGGTAAAATCCCCCTGCTCATCACTGGCATTACATTCAGTAAGATGTGCTAGAACAGTTGAGAAAAGTGAGGAGCTTTCTAGTGACAGGAGACAGAGCTGACATGTTACTGATAGCACTCTGCAGATTGTTACTCTGATTTGGCTCCTTGTGGTACCTGCTTCCTCTGCAGATTTCTGTAGAGCTTCTGCCAGTTCTTGGTCTGCAATCTCCTCCGGCTGCATGTCCTCCCGTCCTGGCCCATATGCCAGTCTTGCACACTCTGGGAGCTCCCCTTCCGGAAGGAAAGTTGTCTGAGATCCAGTGGTGCCAATCACTAGTACATTCTTTTTGAGATCAATGGAACACTGGGAAAAGAGTACACGTGCAATTGATGTCTTGGTAACGGTCAGTCATAACACAGGACCAGAATACATTAATGTGTCACTAATTTAACAATGCACTAGAAAAATGTCACTTCCAATCATCAAGGGGTTACATTAACTGGACGAAGAAGGGTTAAGAAGGTGCTAACAACTGGTAGATCTAAGAACACGTGCTGGGTAGAAATAGCTCAGCAGCCTGCCCCTTCAATATGTCAAGGGGCTTCTTACAGCGGCTCCTATTAGCCAGCTCTTGAATAGTTATGGTCCTTCTGCTCTTCAGCCCAACTAGGGTTACAGCTACAAGTGAGGACTTCCCAGAGTCTTTATTAAAACATTGCTCAGGTATAGACCTCCGAGGATTTTCAGGCACCAAGAGTTCAGAGCAAAGACATTTAGGCTGGGACAAGATACAAAGTACTTACAACCTACAAGGTATAAGTGCTTCCCCCCAGTCTATGGGAAAACCATGTCGGCATATCTCTTCAGAGTTTTTAATCCTAAAAAATTCATAAGGATGATAAAGATCTTACATTTAGCACTTACGAAAGAGCCAAGGATTGTTTGCAAAACAAGCACCAATTGATTCAATTACCTGATGTCTCTTAAGCATATCCAGTCCTAGAAGCATATCCATGGGCTGTTCTTCAAGGATAGAGAAAGAACACGGCAGAAAATCCCCTTCAATCTGAACCTGAGCTGAAGCACACAGAAAACACCATATTACCCACCCTCCAGCCTCAAGAAGTGCTCAAGCACTGCAGCACAAGGATTCCACTATAGGTATCTCTCTATCTAAGGGAAATTATACAAAGCCTCTGTGGGGAAGTTATGGAATCAGAGAACAATGTACATAGACTTGGTTGTGGAAAAGTCTGCTCTAAGCCAGCCCTGGTGATTATTGGGAGTTTGCTAGCCCCCAGTGGCTAAATATTTCCCCCTCCATTATTTTAAAAGCTGACTGGATCTGCAGTGCAGTAGGAACTGATCAACTAACCCCTCAAGCTAGAGCTAAAGAGGCTGCATGCAGCTGCTCAGAGTGTGGAATTTTGTTTTGGTGCTTTAATTCATAGTCAATGTCTTAAACAATGAAGATAATATTTCCTTGTATGGCATTTTCTTCAGACAAACCTGTGCAAGAACACAGATATCTTGAAGTGCTCTCCTCACTGCGGAATGAGATACACTAAGCTGCACTGGAATTCTGCCCCAAACAATTCACACTGCCCATTATCCCCATCCTGATCCCTCATACCAAAGAATAAAGCTATTTATAACCCATCAGCACCAGGAATCAAGGTTTCCTCTGTATTTGTATGGGGACTCTAGACCTACCAGAATTAAAGTGTTAGGATAAGTGTATGAAAACATTTAACATGATGCAATCCTGGTTATTGTGTCTCTGGGTGAGCTTAATGTGATCTTGATAAACTCGTAAGCCACTCTATAGCAGTTCCCAAAGTTTACAGTATTAAAGTAGAGACTCTTTGGCGCCAAGCAGAGCCACAGCCATTACAGGTAAAGTTATCCCGTTGTATCACTACTTACCTAGGTGCACTCTGCCAATGATTTTCTGCGTGCCCACACCCTTAGCAATGCCTGCCCAGCGCCGGTCCACCAGTCTCATTATGTTACACCTTTCAGCACAAGCTTGGCTCATAATGGTCATTTGGGCACCTACCACCAGAGAAAAGAGGAGTTAGCAATATTTAAAAACAACCAAGGGCTAGTTTAAAAATCTAGTACAGAGATTTTAATCTAAGACTCAGTAGCAAGCAGGGAATTACATTATGGCACAAAGGCATTCGATTACACCATGGCTCTGTGTGTATACACATGTCCACCTACCACCACCTGAAGGTCATTATGGCTATGGAAGTTACAATAAAGCTGAATACTTACACTTTGAGATCTACAGATGAAAAGTGTTGTGTTATAAAGGAAAGGAAATCTCAGTTTTACAGCTAGGGAAACTGAGACACACAGGTAGAATGACTTGTCCAAGGTTACACAGCTGGCCAGCAGCAAAGGCAAGATTAGAACCCAGGAATTCTGACTCCCAGTCATGTTTTAACCACAACACACATCTCAAATATTTTTAATTAGGCTGAATAATGACAGAAAGTACATTCAGATTTTAATTAGATCCTTTTAAATTTCGTAACACAATTCTTTACTGTGGGAAAGGAATGCTATAAACTGACCTATTGTGGGGTTCATGATTTCCTTTAAAGAGCCAGGAGAAGGGGGAGCAGGGAGAGCGTAAAGGGATTTAAAATGGGGAGATGTGGTGGGGAATCACCTGAGTCAACAAAGGCTTTCACTGGATGTCCATTGACTTTGCAGTTAATATAGAGCATCACCACCTGGCCAAAGCTCTCTGGGGCCTCTTCCATAGCTATTGTCATGTTCTCTTCAATATTTTGTTGCCTGAATTAAAGGAAAACCAGAAACTGGAATCATGCCTTCCATGAGCAGAAACAGCATATTTATAAAGCCTCCCCCTTTACAAGGATTACAAACAGATTTGTCATCTTCCCTGTCCCCACTACCACCAGTCATGAAGAGCTTGTGAAAGGCGTACTTTAGCAGATGTTAGCAAAAGATCTTGCCTTAATCCAGAGGCATCAGGATGCTTGCAAGCAGGAAGGAAAGAATGTTCCTTGTAGCATCTTAAAGAGACCCAATGCAGCAGTCTGGAGTAAAGTGGTCAGATGCACTTTAGCACCTAGAGACCTGCAACTGACTCTCTGTTTACAACAAAAACCTGTCATTACAGAGTTAACAAAAAGAACTCAGGGGCAAAAGTCTGCATATATTAGTCATTCTGCTACAAAACTAGGATCCCCAAAAGTTATGTTTCTAAATGCTTGCCATAACATTTCAGTAGCGTCTTCCCTTTTGCAAGTATCAGGGTTGGGACTAGTTACATGAAACTCTTGTGAGTGCAGTGACAACACCGCAAAGTCTCTCTACAAATTCAAGGCTACAAAAAGGAATGCAAGGTAGATAAAGCCAAATGAAATGTAGCTCCGTGTCTGCCATAACCTTGAGCATGTTGGGTATCTGCAGCTACCCTGCTGGAAACAGCTCATCTACCAGTATAAAAGGGTCTCTAGTTTAAAGAGATAGCTTCCCTTTTTTTCAGTAGGAGGGAAGATGTCTGCTCTTTTCCTACCGTATAGCAACCCTCCCTCCACCACAGGAGGGCTGACTGCAACTCCCTTTGGAGGCAGTCAGTGATATTCCATACACCTTCTAGAAGGGGACACTGGAGAGGAATATGCTGAGCTCTAAGACGTGGCTGCTTGGGAACTGAAGGTGGATTACTGCAAAGCAGCATACTGCACAGCCACTAGGCTGCCCTGGCTTTATTTACTCATAATATAGCTCAAACCAACACATATTGGGCTCTCTTACAGTATATAAGATTAAGTCAGTCAGGAGCAAGTAGTATGTGTGACTGGCAGATATTTAGTACCAGTCTGATTACAGCAACCACCGCTCTGGTTTCCTCCCCGCTCATTCAAAAAAAAAAAAAAAAAAGATTAGAAAAGTGGCTCGGTAAAATGTGGCATTTATTATGCTGCACACAGCATCTGCTCCCAACCCATCTTTTCATGGGGACAAAATCGAATTGAGAGGGGCATGAGTCAGGTGATCAGAGACCAAAACTGAGAACTAGCAGCTCCCAGGTTCTAATCCCCACTGTCACTAAATGGCTGTCTAGCTGTGGGCAAATCACTCGCTTTCTCTGCCTCAGTTTCCCTTTATCTATAAAAGTGGGGATAACAACACAACTTAAATAGCTCATGGGGATGTTCTGCTGTTTAGTCAGTGTTTGAACAGCACTGTGAAATACTGAAAAATACTTAACACTTACATAGTGCAAAATGCTTTAGTAGTCATTACAATATAATAAATGATTATTTTCCCTTTTACTAATGCAAGTGTTAGCACTGCCAACTCTGCACAACCAATATGAACCTATTATGAAGGCATTCTGCTTCATACATCAGCAAAACCGCTTACTGTGTTCCGATTCAAGAATTTATTGTCGATGATGTAAGAAACATAAGAATCAGAGCTCATCTCCCACAGGCAGCACCTAGCTGAGCCTGTAGCACTGGCAATGAGAGAAGCCTTGTTCGGACTTACAGACTCTGCAGTTACATACAAAAGATACAAAGGGGAAGTAAACCTGGGACAGCATGGTGCCATTTTTACAGAATCACTTTTCAGACAATGATTATGCTTGAAATCCGCAACTAACCAGAGAGTTGGGCTATGTCTGCACTACCAAACTTACAGCCGCCCAGGGGAGAGAGAGCTTATACCGACAGGAGGAGTTTCTGTTGGTGTAGAAACACCACATCCCCAAATGTTAGCCATGCTGACAAGAAGCACTCTTCTGTCAGAAGCATCTACACTGGGAGCTATGGCAGTGTAAGTTTTAAGTGTAGACCAAGCCTCAATGGGTATGTCTTCACAGCAACTACACACCTGTGGCAGGCCTGTGCCTGCTGACCAGGGACTATGGGGCTCAGGCTGCATAGCCTGTTGTGTAGCTGTCCAGAATCGGGCTGGAGCTCGAGCTCTAGGACCCTGTGAAGTAAGCCCAGAAGCCTACACAGCAGTGAAACAGCCCTGCAGCCCAAGTCACGGTTTTTCTTTGTTGCGTAGACATACCCAAAATATAAAAAGAGATGGACTGCAACAAGAAGATGCAGCCTGCTTGGTAACAACATGTGATACTGCCCTGCAGGAGACATGGGTTAGGGGCTACGTTTGCAAGTCCTGGTGCTCAGGTTTGAGGGGATCCAATATATCCCAGGCAGCTACTTGCAGGGTCTCCATGGAATTTTGGTTAAGCAGTTTCTATGCAGTGCTCTCTACTGGCAAGTTCATGGAGATGCACTGCAGAATTGGGAAAGGTCCCTGAAAAAGAACAAAGACTATGACTGGATTTGGGGAAAGTGCAGTCCCCGTGTCGAGAGAGATGACCGATGGCTGTGGGGGTGAGACCACACCACCAAAAGAAGTGACAGAGTCAACAAATGGGAGACAATGCTGGATCTACCTGCCCCTCTTGATTCCAACTAGACCCCCAAAATGCATTTTCAACTGGAATAGGGTCCCACAAAGGGGTCCAGAGCTCTCCCTTGGACTTGGGTTTACTACCTTATGTCCTCTTCTATCTTTGCCTGAGCCTCAAGATCAAAAGGGTCTGCTGAAAACAGACGGATTCTCTCCTGCTCCCGGCGGGCTCGGTCCTGTTGCTGCTCCACCAGCACCCTGGTAAATTTCTCTGCAGTAACAAAAACAGATACAAACACCATAGTTAGATGCACAGACACCCTTTACTGGAAATTACTCTTACAAATGAAATGCTATTAAACTTGTAGCAAAACAGTGTCTTTTAAAAATATTGGCCACTGTTGAAAAGTAAAGTGACCAGTGCAATCAGCAGTGGGCTCTATTTCAGGGCTACTTGAAAAACCAGCCAGCACAGACAGAACTCACGGGCTTGATCACGTAATCACTCGAGATTTCTCCCTTGCCTCCCATCTCCGTGGACTGAACTACTTCGCATTGGGCCTGATGCCCAACAGCCTATGTAGACATAACAGAGTTCTCAGCTTCTGAATGACCTGAAGTTACCCTACATTTATCTTTCCATTGTCTGCAAATGGATTTAATGTGCAGAGACACCATAACATTTAAATCAAAGAGCTGCTATTAAAGAATATTTTCATTGCTTTACTGCAGCAAGACCTACCCAGTGATATCATGCAAGAACATTTCCAAAAGCCGCAAATAAATTACACCGAGAATAGGAGTCAGAGATTCAACATTTGTATTCCAGCTTCTAGTTTAAATTATGCATTCGTATGTAGAACCATCTTTAGCCAAACACTTTTTTCAATTAGGAGAAACGGACGTCACAGCGACCCTAACGCTTAGCATTCCTCCCACAGATCTCAAAGAGCCTTGCAGGAGTGGACGTCATTACCCATACTCATGTTTACATGAGGAAATGGAGGCACCAAGGTCAGCTGGTTTACACAACGTCACAGTGAGTCAGTGGCATAGCCAGGAATGTAACCCAGGTCTTCTGAATCCCAGTGTGCTGCTCTGTACATTGGACCACGTTGCCAACAAAATCAGATGTTCCACCAAACAGACAGCAGCAGAACTTACTGGCAATAGATTAATTTTGCATCTGAGCAAAGTCAAAGTTCTATGACATTGCAGGCTCCAAACAACAGTCTTATTTCAAAACCAACATAGGCCAAGATTTACAAATCTGAGTTCTTACAGTTAGATGCCTAAATCTACACTGAATGGGAGTTAAGAAGTGATTACTTTTGAAAAAAATAAAATAAATTAGGTGCACAACTTCTAGATACCAAAATTTTAGCCATGATTTTTCAAAGTTTGTACACAACAAAATTAATTTTTAACACCACTTGCATGCAGAAATCAAAACAGTTCTGTGTCAACAGTAGCTAGTGCTTTCACTTCAGAAAATGCAGTGGTTCCCAATACACCTGGCCTTGAAATCTTATTTACTCAGCAAGGAGTCCGATGCTTTGATTTCCATGGCTCCATGCTCTGTATAGCTGGTGCCTTCTGATGTATTGTAATGCATCTAACACAATTACATATGCATTGAAGCTTGATGTATTTTGGACACTACTGTGAGAGCAGATCTGGATATCTGCCCAAATGCTGATGGCAAATTCTGACAGCATAACCTGATAATCCACCCTTCTGAATGCACAGTGCTGTACCAATTTTGAATTATGAGAGTTTACTGTACAGATTAGACAAGGAAAGTGGCAGATGAGCTAGTCCTGGGACCCTGTAGTTCGTGCTCTGCACCATTACCACTGAGAGCATCCTTGCACCATCAAGGGCGGCGAGCTCTAGAAGCAGTGCTCTCATCCTAGGATGGGAGGGAAGAACATCTCACGTGATTCTGTGACAAGCTCTCCGATACAGGGGACACACTGTGAGGCTCAAGAGAGGGCCAATAAAAGACACTTGTTATGGAAAGTAAAGGATTGTATGCTTTAGTAACATGGCATGCAGTATTGTACATTACTGTGTTCTCTCTCTCTTTGCAACTGTTCATATATATAAAATCAGTATAGAGAATTTTAAAAAAAACCAAACACATAGCTCTCTCCTCCAGCCTTCCTGTACTGGGAGAAGTCACCAGCCTGCAGTCTTTCAAGAGGAGAAAAACTAGGGGAGGCTCTTCTATAGAGTGCTTTTTCCTTCCATCATCTCTCCCAAATCTTCACACTAGTAACCAAGCTCCTAATAGACAGTTTTCTACAAATGGATCTCTAGTAAGGGTTTATAGCCATGCATTTTAATGTCTGCAAATGATCTGTTTTCATACTAAATGAGCTCTATGTTATTGCAAAAATAAATAAAGCTCAAATGAAACGAGGAGTGAGCAGCAAAGACCAAGTGTTCACCAGCAGAGTGTGGAGGGCATTATACTACTAAGTCTGCCAAGTGCACCACCATCTTAGATAGCACCCAGAAGGATTTTAACAATTTGTTTCTAAAAAAGCCAAATGTACAATTTTTTAAAAGACATTTAAGGAAACTCTTCAAAAGGAATAGTGAAACAAACACTGTTTACTGGTTCCCAGGGCGACCACAGGGCTGCCAGATTAGGTGTCTGCCACTGAGATACAAAGCCTCTCTTATTTAGGTTTTTTTTAAGTCCATGTCTGTAGTGACGAAATATTAATATCTTCCAGGCTTTTGCAAGGGAGGTAGGATGGGATTTAAAATGAGCTATTTTCTGTTTGGGTCGTAGAGAACTAGGGATGGTAATACAGTTACCAGTAATTGGTACAGTTGATAGGATGCTCCGTACAGAGGCCAGGGATGGAACCGGTCCTAAAAACTGATCTCACCCCCCAGATTTGGTCCTTCCAAGAAAGGGGACAAGGCACATCCGCAGAGTCGCACGGAGGAAGCTTACAAAGCTGTTGCTAGCGAGGGCTATTCCTGTTCTGGGGATAGGGGAATTCCACCTCCAGTGCAGTCCGCAGTAAACTCACTAAGAAGCCATTGTGAGCAATCCAACTGACTGAACACCCGTGACCACTTTGTACTCGGACTCGGCACAGACAGAAGTTACCGCGCAACAGCCTCAGACAAAGCAAGGAAGAACCAGTCGCCTCCAAATCCCAATTTACCAAGGTCTCCACTGAGCAGTGCCTCAGCCAGGGGCGGATTGCGTTCTTTCAGCAGGGACAGCTCGTGGGGATTGGCAAGCAACATGTCCCGTAACAACGTCGGATTGTCCAAGCCCTGCAGGGACGGTGGTGTACCCGGGGGCGATGGGCGAGGATTCTGCGCTGGCGGCTGCTGTGGCTGCAGCTGGGCCGATGTCCCAGGCACTGTAATGCTGCTGAAGTCTATCCTGGGCAGACCTTAAGGGAAAATGAGGTAACAGTTTGACCATTTCACCTTCTCAGCTGCTGTGGACAATGCAGTCAGAAGCGGTGGAATGGCTGAACATGCTACACGAGTATTTCATTTACACAGCAATTCATGTCTGAGCTCCACTGTGTCACCAACGTATTCAGGTTAGTGGGTTAGGAATACCATTACATATTTATGTAATGGGTCTAGTCACATATCTGGCCCATTTTCCTGTGAAACTCACTTAACCCCCTCCGACACAATTTTTCAACTCTGAGATATGCATACCACCAATCTACCTCACAAGGGGGTTGTGAGGCTTAACAGCGCCTGTAAAGCACTTCTGAATTCCTCAGATGAAAGGAGATATGGTAGTGAAAAAATATTACCGAAGCCCTGCACTGCAGCCACCAATCTTCCAGCTGAGGCAGAGCTGGGACTTTACAGCCATTCCCCTGCAATAAGCTGCGGTCAACATTTCCTTTATTAAGGGATACAATTATAACAGGAACTCTTAGGACTAAGAATTATAAGGGGGAAGTAGGACTCCAATTCCATACTATGGGGCTTGAGGAATCTTTTGAATAAATATTGCATCACATAATTGGTCTGCTAAGATTCAGCTTCTCTGTGCATAGTCACGAGATGTACTCGGAGCACACATTACAACAGTCCTCTAATGTGTCGGAGCAGCACAGATTGCCTATTATTGCACCATTATACTGAATGGGAGGGAACAGGAAGCCCTATAAAAATCCACATGCATTCACAGAAGCTGCTTTTATGAACAAATTATTTTGGGCACTTTTCTCCCACCCCCAAACAGCAAACTAAATCATGCCTACCCATGGACTAAAGCATCACTGCAAGAAGTAAACCCTTTAAGTAACCAAAGAAAAGAAAAAGCCCACCCCCAAACAAAAACAGTTTTTCCTGATGAAGATGGCTATTGTGAAGTTTTTCAAGCACTTGTATGAAATGTGTTACACACATATAAAGTAGTGTTTTGGTGTATTTATTTACTAATGAACCAACTTTCTGCCCCAAGTAAATGTTCTATCACCAAGTTATTAACTCTCTGAAAAAGGGGACGTTTTAAATTTCATACATTAGTAGATCCTTGACAGGACAGCATTAGTTAAGTTTCACACACATCAATAAATAAAACTTCCAGAGCATTAAAAGGCTAAACAGCCACAATTTAAAGGTAATCTTCTGGGTACAGCAAGGGGGGCTGCAAGCCAACAGCAGGTAGCCCAGCGAGCTAGTCTGAAGAGTTTCTCACCTGGAAACTGGACTGGAGGCCGTGGCTCCGCATTCTCCTTTTGCCGTAAAATCACCACATCCCCATCTTTCAAGCCATACGAGGCCAATGATCTGTGGTTGTCAGTTAGAGGCCTCTCCGCATAGACAATCTGTATATACGGAGAGAGACAGCGTGACAGGAAACAAGCTTATACATGGCACAAAGTGGACTGACAGCAAGACCCTAAATGGTGATTTTACTTAGGAACATTAAATCTGATTCACTATAAATTTCAAGATGAATCCAAAAGAATTACTGGTAAGTGTGCAGTTCTCAAGAGACTGCTGCAAATCAAGTGCCCTGTGCACTAGGCAGATAGTTCCCAAGAGGAGTACTCAGTACTCCACAGAGAATTATTCTTACAGGAAACCAACATGGTTTCACAGTACATAGCATTTCTGAGAAGGGCTGGTTAAGGAATAAGAATGGAAGATTTTAGAGCAGCTTTGGATAAGGCCCCGATTTCTACATATTCCCATATAAACCTGGAATCACCTTCAGCCAAAACTCTGTCTGCCTGCTTCCTAAATTGTGATCTCCCATCATAAAAATGACAGCCACAATAACTTTATGAATTTCAAGGCAGAAGTGTTGAATACCGGACAGGATAGGAGGACATGAGGTCTTCAGTGGAATTCTGATTTCAGCCTTGAATATGTAGCCATGACTCTCCATAACATCCAGTTTTACAGAACTTACATTACCATTAACTTATGTCAATGCACAACAAATTCTAAAGTCAGAAGGGACCAACAGATCATCCAGCCTGACCCCCTGTATATCACAGGCAACCAACACCATCCACACACTAAATCCAACAACTGAAATTAGACCAAAGCATTACAGCCCACTGGAGACTAGACTGTGTGCCACAGGCAGAGAATAAGAGGGACTAAGGGGCACCAGTGCCCAAGGCCCCTGCAATGGTAGGGAAATGAATAAATAAGATGTACCCAGATAATCCTAGCAAGTGACACACTCTCTCACGCCACAGAGAAAGGCAAAAATACCCTCTAGTCACTGTCAATCTAACCTGGAGGAAAATTCCTCCCCAACCCCAAATATGATAATCAGTTAGACTCTGAGCCATCTCTGACTGTTTGAGATATTTTCTAATAGCAATCGTGGAAAGGTCATGTGTCATAGTATGGAACCTCATCGTATCATCCCCTCCATAAACTTGAAACAAGTTAGGTTGCACTAACTACTCCCTTTGGAAGGGTCTTCTAGAACTTCACTCCTCTGATGGTTAGAAACCTTCATCTAATTTCAAGACTAAACTTGGTGAAGGCCAGTTGATATCCATTTGTTCTTGTGCCAGCATTGGCCCTAAATAACTCCTCTCCCACCCTAGTGTTTATCACTCTGATGTATTTATAGAGAGCAACCATCTCTCTCCAGAGCCTTCATTTTGTTAGGCTAAACAACCCAAGCTCCAAGTCTCCTCTCGTAAGGTAAGTTCTCTGTTTCTCTAATCATCCTAGCAGCCCTTCTCTGCACTTGTTCCAGTCTGAATTCATCTCTCAAATACAGGAGACCAGAATTGCAAGCAGTATTCCAGATGAGGTCCTCCAGTTAATATCAGAGAAATTAAAGTCTCCCATAATCACACAATTCCCAGTAGTATTTCTTTCATTGGTCTATCCATATCCAAATCAGATCCTGGGGGTCTGTAACAGATCCCAAGCACTGTTCCAGGGGAGTCTGTTTCCATTTTTCTCCAAAATGATTTTGACCCAAACATTCCATTCTGTCACTCTCAAGTTCTTTACAGTCTACCTCATCATTAACATACAGTGCTATTACACCATGTTTATCTTTATTTCTGCCTTTCCTGACCAGCACATACCTTTCAAAACCTGTACTCAAGTCATGACTACTATTCCACCACATTTCCATTAACCCTATAATATCTGGTTTCACCTCCTGCACCAGTAGTTCTAGTTCTTCCTGTTTGCAACCCAGGCTCATAGAATGTTAGGGTTGGAAGGGACCTCAGGAGGTCATCTAGTCCAACCCCCTGCTTGAAGCAGGACCAATCCCCAATTTTTGCCCCAGATCCCTAAATGGCCCCCTCAAGGATTGAACTCACAACCCTGGGTTTAGCAGGCCAATGCTCAAACCACTGAGCTATCCCTCCCCCCCAATGCAAGGAGCCTTGCATTGGAGTACAGACATCTTAGCTGTTTCACTTGGCCTTACCCAGGTTCTTCATCTGATAAGGCACAATCATTTTACTGCCAGCATAGCCTACCTGCCAGTGCCAGTATCAATGACAGTAATAATCTTTCCTCTTGTTGTCCATTCTCCTTCTCTCTATCCGCTTACTTGATTTCCCTCCTGCTAAATATTATAATCAGGTGTGGGGATTATATGACCACCTCCAAAACATTTTCCCCAAATTCCTAATTTAAAGCTCATTTAATCAACTCTGCCAGCTTCCATCCCAGAAGTCTACTACCCTCTCTACTCAGGTGGAGTCCATCTCGTGAGAGCAGCTCTCTGTCCGTGAATGCTCCCAGTGGTCGAACATCCCAAAGCTCTCCTTGTAGCACCACTGCCTGAGCCATCTGATGATCATCATAATCTTGTCTTTCCTTTGCTCTCCTCCTCTATGGACACTGAAGATCTCCCACTGAAGATCACTTAAACCTCCATTTCTTAAGCATCTTCTCCAGCTTGGTGCAGTCTTCCTTGATGTGTCCCAGTGAGAATCTAGCAGCATCATTTGTTCCCATGTGAAAGACGATAAATGGTTTCTTTCCTGCTCCCCTTAGGATCCTCTTCAGTCTCACGTCCACATCTCATATCTTAGTCCTGGCAGACAGCACACCATCTGTTCTTCTTAGTAGGGAGTCCCCAGTTGTGTAGACTGTTTCTTCCTGGTGTTGGTGTGAGTCTCCAGTCCTCCCTCTTCTGTTCTTTCTGGCTGCAAGTCTTCTTGTCATCTGTTCTCACTTGGAATCTTCTGCAAGTCATACTCTATCGTCCTGGAGCTCTGAATTCTGGATCGCCTCTTGTAGGACTAGCTACTCTACTCGTCTTCCTTGCTCTTTTGTTACTGTCTGCCTCTCCCCTTCATTTTCTAACTGAGCAAAACCTGTCCTTCAGCTCTACTTCTCCCTTGCTAGCTAGTCTTCTCCTATGCCTTGTTTTTGTAGTCACATTCTTCCATGGGCCACTTTCTTCATCCAGCGGTCTACCCTCACAGTTCTCTTGGCCAGCAGGCATCTGCAAGCATTGAGTTTTCTCTTCAACCTCCTCTCTCCATCATCTTCTGAAATTCTGTCTAAACTCAACCATAATTTCTAGCTGCATCTCCAAACATGGGATCTTCTCTTCCATCAGTTCTATTGGGCAGCACATCATACAAATGAAGCTCTTTCAGGTACCCTCTACAGCAAGGATAGGCAACCTATGGCATGCGTGCCAAAGGCAGTACACGAGCTGATTTTCAGTGGCACTCACAATGCCCGGGTCCTGGCCACTGGTCCGGGGGGCTCTGCATTTTAAATGAAGCTTCTTAAACATTTTAAAAACCTTATTTATTTACGTACAACAATAGTTTAGTTATTTATTAAAGACTTATAGAAAGAGACCTTCTAAAAACGTTAAAATGTATCACTGGCACACGAAACCTTAAATTAAAGTGAATAAATGAAGACTCGGCACACCACTTCTGAAAGGTTGCCGATCCCTGCTCTACAGAGTAACGTACATCCTGCACCTTCCACAACCTGTTACCTGTAACGTTTTAAGTATAAACGAGCCCTTAGACAACTGGCCCTAAAGAGCCACCCCGTCAGCAGGGGTGTGAGGTGGCCTCTCCCGCCTTTGCAAGTCCAGGTAATGTCCATTCTGCACAGGTTGCTGCCACCCCCTCATTTACTCTCTCTCAAAGCTGAATGATGGGCAATCTAACTAAAAAAATCTAAGCATAAAAAAGCTCCAAAGGACAGAATGAAAGAAAAAACAATGAGGGACGAACCAAAGTCAACGCATCTGATCTGAGTTAAGGAGCTGCATGCTCATTGGGGTCACTCACCCTTTTACACCCTTGGAAGACTCAGGGATGGGAAGGAGTCAGTGACACCAAATAACTATGCTCACAGCACAGACATCTTGATCCCACAAGTGGCCATGTACAGAGGCTACTCAAAGAAGAATACAGGACCTTCTCATTCACTGTTAAATCTTTGCTGAGCAATGGGAAAGGCCATTAGGTCTTTTGTGCAAATCAGGATTAACCATTGCAAGTACCCAAGTTTCTCCTGTACTGTATTCTGGTTTATACTGCAGACTTGCAAGCTTACCTTAAAAATCATTTGCTTCTAAAGTACCAGAATTTGAATAGTGCTATTTCTAAAAACTGACTTTGCAGTCTCAGAATATTTCAGGCTCAGAAGATAAAAAACCTGGAGCTCAATTTGAAATAGGATTGTCCAAAACATGAAGTAGGTGCTGCCAAAACAGATGCGTGTTTCCAAAGCACTTATTTTGTTAAACTATGAAAAGTTTTTCTTTTCAAAAATAAACCTGTTTAAAATTAAATCTGACTTCAATACAAAATATTTTAAATCCTAAATGTATTATAATCTCTTAAATCTTTTAAATTAAAAAAGTATGCTGAATTCATATGCCTCTATCAAAAACTGAGTTAAAGGCTGCTTTGCTATGTAAAGAATCAGAGCAAACTCATCCATTTTGAGGTCAAGCTTTATAAATATGGCACAATAGGTCATATACTATTCTGTTTAATAAAAATATTTTACATGCTGTTGTGTGTGTTTAATTAAATTCCAGTTATCATCCTAATGCAGCTTGACATAATCATGAGCAAAAGGTTAATTTAGTAAATAAGCAGTATCAGTCACCATTTTCTAACATACTAAAAATGTGCAATTAATAAGAATCTAAAATATTAAGCTACATAATTGCTTAAATAAATGTATATAGTTATACTGTTGTATCCTTCTACATAGCAAAAAGAAGTACCAAACCTAGTGTAAAGGCTCTATTTAGTTGTAAATCAACATGTTTTAATGGTTATATCAGCAGAGAAGAAACAGTACAACAAACTCTTACTGGCATTATGAAACTTTGTTTGTG